TATTTGGGCACCACCTTGTGGGACTTTGTAGAAACACATAGTGTGAGAGTTTGTCAACTATTGTTAACAGATTAAAATTTGTAATCATCTGTGATGCTGAATGGGTGGAATATGTTGCTTTCTACAGCTTTTCTGGACAGAAGAATGAGGAGATAAACCAAAGAGTAATAAAACTACTCTTATATAGGATCAAGAAGCTATCTAAGTAACGTCTGATGAAATCCAAAACTAATTTGCTTAACTCACACTAACCTAGTTTCTACTATATGTGAGGCATTAGATAGAAAATAGACCCAGTCACTTCAACCCAGTGAAGAAAATAAGCAAGTAAAGAGCAATGGCAAGTTTTACCAAAAAAAAAAAAAAAAAAATCAGTAATCAAATATCTAACTCTAGTTGACAATACCATGCTGAATGAAGGGTTTGGGAACAAAATGTACCAGTGTCTGCAACTTACCTTGAAATGCATCATAAAGAAAGGAGATGGATAGAAGAATGGGTAGATGGGTAGATTATGCAACAGAGCAAATATGTTCATTATAAATATCAATTGTGAAATCTAGGTGGCGGGTAATGGGTTTGCTGTATAATTCTGTTAACTTTTCCATATGTTTGAAAATTTTCATAACAAAATATTAGGCCAAAAAGAGCAACAGCAACATAGTGTGATAACACCTATAAAAGAGACCTACACAGAGGGTACCCAGCCCAGACTATGATATGTAAGTTGGAAGTGCAGGAGCAAAGGATAAACAGTGGTTTCTTTTATGCCATGTTAAAGGGGTAAAACTTTATCTTGAAAGCAATGAGAGCCACTGAACAATTTTAAGCAGGGGTGTGACATGATCACATTTTCATGTTAGGAAAATCACTCTGATTGCTGTATGAACAACAACAGGAAAACAAGCTTGGAGGCTAACATCTACTAGGAAATTTACTATGACATCAATGAGGGATAAGGCTCTCAAGTATCAGCAATGAGAATGCAAAGCGAAAAAGGCTAAAAAATACTAAGAAACAGAATCAAAGAACTTAGTACCTAATTGGCCTAGGAGAGGGGAAGAAATGAAGGAGAAAAATGGTATCCAGTAGCCTGCTGAAAAGTATTTAAAAACTGTCTCTCAGGCTGGGCGTGGTGGCTCACGCCTATAATCCCAGCACTTTGGGAGGCCTAGGCAGGTGGATCACAAGGTCAAGAGATCGAGACCATCCTGGTCAACAAGGTGAAACCCCATCTCTACTAAAGCAAAAATTAGCTGGGCATGTTGGTGCGCGCCTGTAGTCCCAGCTACTTGGGAGGCTGAGGCAGGAGAATTGCTTGAACCCAGAAGGTGGAGGTTGCAGTGAGCCGAGATCGTGCCATTGCAATCCAGTCTGGGTAACAACAGCGAAACTCCACCTCAAAAAATAAAAAAAAACAAAAAAACTGTCTCTGGGGAAAAAAAATGTAAGTATACACATATACATACTTGTTTATTAGAAATGTTATTGATATAAAGAATGTATGGTATACAATTTTCAAATAACAAAATATACAATATTCTCTATTATAAATTTATATAGCAAATTGACTCTTAGAGAATGCTTTCATTGATTTTTGACCAAATTCTTATATCCTTAGCCAATCTATTGTTGCAACTGATGAATGAGTGTGGTTCCAACAAGAATGTTGGTGGACATTTTCCTCTTCTTTAACAAGTAAGACAAAAGTGAAACAAAGAAAAAGGTGGATGTGCATTGAAACTTCATTTGTTTGTCATTGATATAAGCAACTTTGCAGCTGAATAAGATAATACTTTTAAAATACTGAAACATTTTCTTAGTTTTTTTCTTACTCAACTGTTACAGATATAATGCACTTTTGAGTTTAATCTGCATTATTGTTTTTCCATCACTTTCTTTGGTCTAGACAATAAATAAAATAGTAATTCAAGCCCTAATTTGTAGCAGATGTGTATTGTGAGATCATCCTGGTCAACGTGGTGAAACCCCGTCTCTACTAAAAATATATACAAAAAATTAGCTGGGCATGGTGGCGCGTGCCTGTAATCCCAGCTACTCAGGAGGCTGAGGCAGAAGAATTGCCTGAACCCAGGAGGCGGAGGTTGCCGTGAGCCGAGATCGCGCCATTGCATTCCAGCCTGGGTAAAAAGAAACTCCGTCTCAAAAAAAAAAAAAAGTCCTACTATATCAGATTTCAAGTTACTAATGTGACATAACTGAACACAGAATTGAAAAGAGAAACACAAATATATAGCAGTATAACACTATGCAGGATTTTCATCATCTAGTTGCCATGAATGCAAACAACTTCATGTACATATACAATAGTAAGATTTAGTACGATAATTAGGAAGTAATGAGTTTTGAGTATTTTTGCTGTTGTTTTTAATGTAATTTATTTATTTGTAAGTTAAATATATACTGCAACGTTTAATAATATGTGTATAAGTTATAAATAATATTTATTTATAAGTTAAATATATAGTGCATTTAAATTATATATATAATAATATTATAATACTGTGTGTGTGTGTGTGTGTGTGTGTGTGTGTGTGTGTGTTCATAAAGAGATGGGGACTAAAGGAGGTAAAGCAATGTGCTAAGGAGTCCAGACAGGGATAGATATTACTTCGAGCTGCAGGAGAGTTCAAGGAGGGGCTGGAGGGATGTATCTTGAGGGATGGATAGCATTTGAATTTTCTAAGTCTTGGAGAAGGGCATTCTGGGGGCTGGTGTGGGTAGGGGAAGGAACAAAAGCATCTTATAAGGAAAATGCTATGGAAAAGTCACTGGAAACAATTCGGTGGAATGGCTCTAGTATGAATTAAGAAATCAAGTGGGAAAAAATATGTTGGGCCAGAGTAGGTAGGGACAACCTCATGTTGATAACCCTTTAAAAAAGTTTCAGATGCTTTTATACATGTTACATGGAGAGAAATAGTTACCATTATATGTAATTTACTAATCTTTAAATAATTAACTATACTTACCTCATTTATACAACTAACACATTTAATATCTATTAATTTAGTAAATGAGATTTCTCTTAAGCACTGCTGCAAACTGAATCCCTCTTCTCAAGTTTAAAGTAGCAGATTCTTTGAAATATTTTTCAAAAAGAGGACAAAATATACCAATAGAACAATAATTATAAAACTGAATAGTGTAAAAGTCATAAAAAGACTTCGGAAGTAAAACTTTGGAAGTAAATTTGTGTCCACATCATCCCTGTCCTGATTCTAATTCTGGTTCTCCTTATGCTTCTGGGTTTTTTCTCTCTTTCATTGCTTCCTTGGGTTATGATTATACTTAGCCAAGAAAGTCAGGCTTAGCTTCTCAAACGAGCTGCTAATGTTCCAAAATTTAGAGCATGTGAATCAAGTCTGTTATCCATCTGAAGGTTTTCCAGTTACACATTGTAACTTACATCTGAAATAGTCCAAATTACTGACTCAGGATAATCAGATATGCTTTGATTTTTCTGTGATCTAGTCTTTTTCTCAAAATGATCCTGGCCCTGAACACATTGTCTTCATAGTCTAATAAACATCTACTGTCTTCATAGTCTAATAAACATCTACTTTCCAGTTCTTATTCTGGAAATCTTTTCCTTATTTTACTACCAATAGAAAACTGTTTATATAACTGCTTTGGGTCTAATTATAAAGCTAATCTGATTCATTGAAAATACAAGGTTTTTTCTCATCTCTCAACCATTATAACTTGCAACATGAACACCTTAAGTCAAGGCTGAGGAGTATGGATATTGATCTATAGGGAATGTAAGTGAATGAAAGGTCCTAAGTAAAGGGTAGCATCACGTATGCTTCAGAGGAATCAATCTGGCCTCACAGAAAAGATGAATTAGAGTAAATGTGTAGGAACCAGGGAGCCAGAGTCCAACTGGGGAGACTACAGTCTGGGTGAGGAGTAATTAAGACCTAAAGCAGGGCAGTAGCTGTGGGAGCCAAGAGACTGGCAGAATGAAGCCACATCATCTGTTTCAAAATCCCAAATGTGATTTACTCAAGTCCTATTCAGTGAGGGATAGAGATCAGGCAGTAAAATGGCTGTGGTTTTACTGGGACTAACGGTGCCAATTTGAGAACAATTTTGATAGCTGCTACTTTAGTGCTTCACTGCACATTAGAAGAAATGCACCAAATTACCCACAAATGAAACAGAGACCCTGTGAAAAAGCAATGAGAAAGGCAGGAAATGTTAGCATTACCCATGTTGCAGTCATCATGCTAAAATTGCTCCAGTTAATAAAGCATCTAATATGCTGCTTGAATCTTATTTGTGCCTTAACTTTGTGGGTATAGGATTATGACGTGTCTATTATGGAATTTAGCATTCTAACCCCTCCAATTATACTCTTAAAAATAACATAACATTAGTTTTTTTCTCATGAAGAACATTTTATATTGTAACGTGCATAACAATTACATTCAAATTTAGAAAACACAGAAAAGCATAATGAAGAAAATAATGATCACTTTTAAACCTACCACACAGAGAAATCTACTGCTAAAACTTATCCTTTTAAAATAAGGCTAGGATCATTATAGCTGTTTCATTCAGTAATATTCCATTCTTGTAACAGTAAACCATAGTGTTTCCTCTATCTTTAAACAGTTTTCTAAGACAGGGGTCAAGCTACTCCAGCCCGCCACCTGTTTCTATAGTTTTGTGGGCACAGAGCCATGGACACTTGTTTATGTACTATCTACGGCTGCCTTTGCACTACAAGAACAAAACTGAATAGTTGTGACAAAGGCAGCATAGCCTGAGGAGCTGGAAATATTTACAATCTGGTTGTTTACAAAAAGTTTGCTAACTCCTGCTTTAAAAGATTATTCTAATGACAGCATATAATTAGATCAAAAGGCAATTCCACTGGCCACTGCATGAGCCAGTGGTTAGAAGCACAAGCTAGTGCCAGATTGTCTGAGTTTGTATCCCAGTGCAATCATTTAAGAAATGTATGAGCTTACCTAATTTATTTCACCTCTCTGTGCCTCAGTTTTCTCATCTGCAAAATAGGAAAAATGACAGTATTATCCTCATAAAGTTGTGATGAAGATGTGGTAGACCCTGTGATGCACCTCCAGATTTTTTTGTCAGTCATTAGTGACTTCCTTCAGCTCTGGGTAGTGGTGCCAGCAGGTAGCCTCAGCTGTTAGCTTTCTCTGGGGACTGCCTTACCCGAGGAAATTGCCTCACTCAAAATCATGCCTCTCCCAAGGCACAGTTCACATTCAATTACACATCCACATCAATGGAACAGTATAAAGGCCTGTGCCCCAGCCCTCAGCTCAGGACAACTCTGAAGGACCAGTCCAATTCCAGAGTTACCCATGGGCTGGCTGAGGCCTTCTTTTGATATTGCATAGCTGCTCAATTTCCCCCCTGCCTAATTTCCCTTCTTTCTCTTCCATCCTCAGGTGCCGATCCAAACAATACTCCCTAATGAATATCCTACATCCTAGTCTCCATCTTAGAATCTGGTTCCCAGGAAACCTAAGCTGAGATAGTATGTTAAATGGGTCTATATTTAAAAATCTCTGACACAGAATATATGCTATATATTTATATAATTGTTTTTTAAATAAATAAATAATCCAGTGGGGAAAAGTGGAATGGAAATACAAGTTAAAGAAGAAAAAATAGAATAGTGTAAAACTTCCTACAATTGAAGAACAGCTTAATCATAAAATCTTTGTTACAAAATTTAATTATATAGATCAAGCAGTGGTTATTGGTGGAAACAATCCACATTGACAACTGTGAAATATTCCAATGTTAATATTTATTCATTTATTTTTATAAATCTTTTTAAAAATGTTTGTGCACTATTTTTTAAAATAGTATGTGGATACATTTGTGGGATACATAAGATGTTTTGATACAAGCATGCAATGTGAAATAATCCAATGCTAATCTTTAAATACAGGTGAAATATATGAATCAGATTCTCATAACATGTTCAGAATCTACACAAACTTGATTCTGAACCTAGTTCAATACACAAGGCTAAGAGAATGACAGTGTAGTTACCAATAATTAAACCAAAGGCATAATTTTCCAAATCACTTTTAGTAAGTAAATATGTTCTGACATTTTAAAAGTCCAAAGCTACATAAAACTTAAAGCAATCGAACTATTTTTCTGATATTTTTAAAAAAATTCTGGTGGGAGGGCAAGATGGCTGACCAGACACAGCCAGATAAAACAGCTGCCACCAAGGAACCAAGAGGACTGAAGCATGCCTAACAGATCTTCAGAGGGAACGCACCTAGAGTAGATGGAGGGAAGACACAGAAGCTGGGCTGAAGGAGGAAGAAGCTAAGAACCGTGCATGAGGCTACCAAACACTGGGACTCATTCCTGGCCCCATTGTCTCCAGGAAAATGAATGAATTTAACTGGAAAGGAGCAACCCATTTTCACCACAGGCCTCCGGAATCCCAGCAGGAAGAGACCCCCTTGACCAGCATAGACACTCGAGTTGGCAGGAAGAGCTGCTTAGAGAAGTGGTATGGACAGCACATCAGCTGAGGCAGAGCTTAGAGGGTATGGTGTAGGAGCAGCTATAGTGGAGCACACCCAGGGAAGCCCATTTTTCCAGGCTCAACTTGTTCCCATAGGAGACTTAAGCCCTAGGGAAACTGTAAGATCTGAACTCTGCAGGGTGATCCTGCCCATCATATGAACTGCTCAGCCAGTTCAACCTGAGCATCTCTTTGTCTGCTGGCCTCTCTCAGGAACCCAGCCTCACCACATCTGCTTGCAGAGCAGCCTTAGGTGCCCTGGGGGCTCACTTCACAGCTTCTGCACTGGCAGACCATGCCTGACTGGCAGACAGCTCCAGAGGGGTGGCCCCCATGGCCTGCCTGCTCCCTCCCTACACTGTAGTTTCCCCAGGCCCACAGCAAGCCCGGGTATTGCTTTCCCAGAGCACATGTGCATGAGCAGGTTTTGCCTTACCTGCCTACCAGTGCAGTGTGTGCATGCTCCCTGCCCTGCGACTGCTTCAGTTAGAATGCACTCCACCCCACCCCACTCCACCACCACCACCATTGCAGTTGGTGTCTTGGTAGGCACAGAGCCAGCCAGCCCTATTCCCACCAGTGCCCTGCCCTTGTGCCAATACTGCCCTGAAAGTTAAACTAGGCACAGAGAACAGTGAATTCTCCACTTGCCTGCAGCACACAGAGAACACAGTCCTGTGACCACCAGCAGGACTGCATGCACAGTTGCCTGCAAACACCACCTACCCCCACCCAGCGGTGCTGCCTCTGCCACTGTGGTGAATGCCCACATGGAAGCAGGTACCCTAGCACCCACTAGTACCCTGCTTCAGCCAACAAGCATGCACCGTGCTTCTGCTGTCACTACTGCTGCCATGTGCAGATAAGGATGGATCCCAGTGTTACTGCACTACAAAATGCTTTGGCTAAGACTACCCATTAGAGTGTAGTGAACGCAATCTGAACCACCTCACCGCCCCACCTCACCCCTCATACAGTGGATTCCTAACCTCAAGGATTCAGAGAACAACATCAGGGCCCAATACAAGTCCCCCAGAGTTACAGCACACAGTCCAGGAGTTGAAAGCTTCAGCATTGGCCCCCTAAAATCTTCCAAAACCAAAGCCAGTTGGCTGAATCCATCTTATACTACAACCAAACCCTCAAGATCACTATACTGGATGAAAGAAAAAAAGCACCCAAAGGTCAGCAACCTCAAAGACTGAAGAAACATCAACCCACAAAGATGAGAAAGAACCAACACAAGAACTCTGACAACCCAAAAAGCCAGAGTTCCTTCTTTCCTCCAAATGACCACACCACCTCTCCAGCAAGGGTTCTTGAACTAGGCTGAGATGTCTGAAATGACAAAAATAGAATTCAAAATATTAATTTTAAGCCAAAATATGGATAGGAACAAATACTAGCCTTGAATGTAAATGGCTTCAGGTTCCCCAATTAAAAGGCATCATGGCAAGCTGGATAAAGAACCAAGATCTATTGGTATGCTCTCTTCAAGAGACCTATCTCAAAATTTAAAATGGAGAAAAATCTTTCCAAGCAAATGAAAAACAGAAAAAATCAGGAGTTGCAATCTCAATTTTATACAAAACAGACTTTAAACCACAAAGATAAAAAATGATAAGGACATTACATAATGGTAAAGGGTTCAATTTAACAAGAATACCTAACTATGCTAAATATATATGCACCCAACACACAAGCACCCAGATTCACAAAGCAAGTCCATAGAGACTTTCAAAGAGATTTGTACTCCCACACAATAATAATGAGAGACTTCAACATCCCACTCACAGTATTAGACAGATCACAGGGCAGAAAATTAACAGATATTCAGGACCTGAACTCAGCAATAGATCAAGTGGACCTGATAGACATCTACAGAACTCTCCATCCAAAAGCAACAGAATATATATTTTTCCTCATCACCACATGGTGCCTACTCTAAAATCAACCACATAATTGGTCCCAAAACTCTCCTCAGCAAATGAAGAAGAACTGAAGTCATAATAACCACTCTCTTGGACCACAGTGCAATCAAATTAGAAATCAAGACTAAGAGACTTGGTCAAAACCATACAATTATGTGGAAACTGAGTAACCTATTTCTGAATGACTTTTGAGTAAATAATAAAATTAAGGCAGAAATCAAGAAGCTCTTTTAAACTAGTAAGAACAAAGATACAATGTACCAGAATCTCTGGGACACAGATAAGGCAGTGTTAAGAGGAAAATTTATAGCACTAAATCCCCAAATTAAAAAGTTGGAAATATCTCAATTTAACAACGTAACATCTACAACTAAAAGAACTAGAGAACCAAGAGCAAACTGACCCCAAAGCTAACAGAAGACGAGAAATAACCAAAGTCAGAGATGAGCTAAATGAGATTGAGACACAAAAAAACCATTCAAAAGATCAGTGAATCCAGGAGTTTGTTTTTTTTAAACTAATACAATATACCACTAGCTAGACTAATAGAAAAAGAGAAGATCCAAAATAAACACAATTAGAAACAACAAAAGGGACATTACCATTAACTCCACAGAAATACAAATAACCATCAGAGAATATTATGCACACCTCTATGTACATAAACTAGAAAATCTAAAAGAAATACATAAATTCCTGGACACATACACCATCCCAAGACTAGTCCAGGAAGAAGCTGAATCCCTGAATAGACCAATAACAAGCTCTGAAATGGAATTAGTAGACTACCAATTAAAAAAATAGAAATCAAAGCCCAGGGCAAGACAGATTCATAGATGAATTCTACCAGAGCTGGTACCATTTCTACTTGAAACCATTCCAAAAAATTGAGGCAGAGGGACTCCTTCCTAACTCATTCCATGAAGCCAGCATCATCCTGATACCAAAACCTGGCAAAGACACAACAAAAAAAGAAAACTTCAAGTCAGTATCTTTGATGAATCTTGATGTAAAAATTTTCAACAAAATACTGGCAAACTAAATCCAGAAGAACATCAAAAGCTTATCTACCATGATCAAGTAGGTTTTATCTCTGCAATGCAAGGTTGGTTCAACATATGCAAATTAATAAACATGATTTGTCTCATAAATAAAACTAAAGACCAAAAACCACATGATGATCTCAACAGATGCAGAAAAGCTTTCGATAAAATTCAACACCACTTCATGTTAAAAAAAAAAAACCTCTCAATAAACTAGGTATGGAATGAACATACTTCAAAATAATAACAGCCATCTATGACAAACTCACAGCCAACATCATACTGAATGGGCAAAAGCTGGAAGCATTTCCCTTGAAAATCAACACAAGACAAAATGCCCTCCATCATCACTCCTATTCATCATAGTATTGGAAGTCTTAGCTAGAGCAATCAGGCAAGAGAAAGAAAGAAAGGGCATCCAAATAGGAAGAGAAGTCAAACTATCCCTGTTTGCAGATGACACGATCCTATAGGTAGAAAACCCCATAGTCTTTATCCAAAAGCTCCTTCAGCTTATAAATAACTTCAGCAAAGTCTCAGGATACAGAATCAATGCACAAAAATCAATAGCATTTCTATATACCAACAGCAGTCAAGCCAAGAGCCAAATCACAAACACAATCCCATTCACAATTGCCAGGAAAAAAAAAAAAGTGAAATACCTAGGAATACAGCTAACCAGGATGGTGAAAGATCTCTACAAGGAGAACTACAAAACACAGCTCAAAGAAATCAGAGATGACACAAACGAATGAAAAAAATGCTCCATGCTTATGGATAGGAAGACTCAATATTGTTAAAATGACCACACTTCCCAAAGCAATTTAGAGATTCAATGTTATTTCTATCAAACTACCAAAGCCATTCCTCGCAGAACTAGAAAAAACTATTTTAAAATTCATATGGAACCAAAAAAGAGCCTGAATAGCCAAAGCACTCCTAAACAAAAAGAACAAAGCTGGAGGCATCACACTACATGACTCCAAACCATACTACAGGGCTACAGTAACCAAAACAGAAAGGTACAGGTACAAAAACAGACACATTGACCAATGGAACTGAATAGAGAGCCCAGAAATAAGGCTGTACACCTACAACCATCTGATCTTCAACAAGGCTGACAAAAATAAGCAATGGGGAAGGGGCTCCCTATTCAATAAATGATGCTGAGATAACTGGCTAGCTATATGCAGAAGATTGAAACTTCCTTATATCATATATAAAATGGATGGATGGATTTAGTCAAGATGGATCAAAGACTTAAATGTAAAATCCAATACTATAAAACCCTGGAAGACAACCTAGGCAATACTATTCTGGATGTAGGAACAGACAAAGATTTCATGACAAAGACACCAAAAACAGTTGCGACAAAAGCAAACATTGACAAATGGGATTTAATTAAACTAAAGAGCTTCTGCGCAGCAAAAGAAACTATCAACAGAGTAAACAGACAACCTGCAGAAAGGGAGAAAAATTTTGCAAACTATGCAACTGATAAAGGTCTAATATCCAGCATCTATAAGGAACTGAAACAAATTGATGAGCAAAAACAAAATCCTATTAAAAAGTAGACAAAGGACATGAACAGACATTTTTCAAAAGAAGACATACATGTGGCCAACAAGCATATGAAGAAAAAGCTCATCACTGATCATTAGAAAAATGCAAATCAAAACCACAATGAGATACCATCTCATACTAGTTAGAATGGCCATTATTGGAAAGTCAAAAAATAACAGATGCCGGCAAGGTTGCCAAGAAAAAGGAATACTTATACACTGTTAATGAGAGTACAAGTTAGCTCATCAATGGTGAAAAACAGTGTAGCGATTCCTCAAAGACCTGAAAACAGAACTATCATTTGACTCAGCAATCCTATTACTGGATATATATCCAAAGGAATATAAATCATTCTATTATAAAGACACATGCACATGTATGTTTACTGTGGTACTATTCATAATAACAAAGACAAGCAATCAACCTAAGCACGCATCAGTGGTAGACTGGATAAAGGAAATGTGCTAAATATACACCATGGAATACTATGCAGCCATAAAAATGAAGGAGATCATGTCCTTTGCAGGAACATGGATTGACCCGGAGGTCATTATCCTTAGCAAACTAATACAGGAACAAAAAACAAAATAGTGCATGTTCTCATTTATAAGTGGAAGCTAAAAGATGAGAACACATGGACACATAGAGGGCAACAACAGACGTTGGGGCCTACCAGGAGTGGAGGGGAGGAGGGAGAGGATCAGGAAAAATAACTAACAGGAACTAAACTTAATCCCTGGGTAACTAAATAATCTGTACAACAAACCACCATAACATGAGATTACCTATATAGCAAACCTACACATGTACCCATGAACTTAAAACAAAAGTTTAAAAAGAAATCTTCTTTGTCCTATTTAAACATAATTCTTGGTATTGAGGTAAATCTGAATTCACATGATATGCTTTGTCAAATTTTTCCAAACCCGTTTTTTTTGAGACAGGGTCTCTGTTGACCAGGCTCCGGGTGCAGTATCACAGTCTTGGCTCACTGCAACCTCCGCTTCCCAGGTTCAAGTGAGTTTCCTGCCTCCTGAGTAGCTGGGACTACAAGTGTGCACCACCATGCCTTGCTAATATTGTGCTTGTATTTTTTAATAGAGATGTGGTTTCGCCTTGTTGGTCAGGCTAGTCTTGAACTTCTGACCTCAGGTGACCCACTAGCCTCAGCCTCCTAAAGTGCTGGGATTATAGGCACCACACCTAGCCCTATGTTGTTTACAATTTAAAGATTTTAAAGATATTAGAAATCATATACCTGACAACTATGTGAATTTATTTTGACAATGTTAATCCCAAAATGTATGAAGAAGTGTCCTGATTTTAGAAATTTATCTGGGTATATGCTAGAAAACATTTTGAAGGCCACTATTTTAAGATATCTCAGATCTTCTGATATTCAACCTTTGTGAAAAGATTTCCTAAGCCATGGTACATGTTTACAGTGCCTTCATTTCAGCTTGATACCTCCTCAACCTCCATCTAAAAGTGAAACTTGCTCTCAGGTACAGAATGATTTTGTTCATGTGGAAATAAAAAGAATTGGGATTAGCCAGTCACAGACTCCGCAAAATGTTCCATTACTGTAGTAACTGAATTGCTGCCAGGAGCAGCTGTAAATAAGGAATAAATTGGCTGTCCTTCAACTGCTATCCTTTTTGTTTTAAAACTGTAACAAAAATCCTGTCCTGATAACCACAACATAAATGAAGAAGCTTAAAAAGAACATCCTGGCCAGGCGCAGTGGCTCCTTCCTGTAATCTCAACACTTTGGGAGGCTAAGGCAGGTGGATCACTAGAGGTCAGGAGTTTGAGACCAGCCTGGCCAACACGGTGAAAGACTGTCTCTACTGAAAATACAAAAAGTAGCTGGGCATGGTGGCACATGCCTGTAATCCCAGTTACTTGGGAGGCTGAGGCAGGAGAATTACTTGAACTCGGGAAGCAGAGGTTGCAGTGAGTCGAGACTGCATCACTGCTATCTAGCCTAGGTGACAGAGAGAGTCTCCATCTCAAAAAAAAATTAAAAAAAAATCCTATTAGGGATACAAAAGTTTAAATTTAAAACAAAATAATGAGACTGAACTACAGCAGCTTTAGGATCTACTGTAAAACACATGTTTAGTAAAAGCAACTAGTGTCATCTCAGACCAGTCTGTCAAGTTCTCTGCTATGGTTTACTGTTTCCAAAAGATATAAAGCACTCACCCAGCTCACTAAATGTGTTTTGGATACCTATGCAACAGGTGTTCAAGGAAATCCAAAGTTCTACACTAAAAGATTGCTACCCATAAGGATGTTGTTTTAGTGGAGAAGGGGAATCAGTTTCCAAAAAGACTGAGAAAAGTGTCCCTTATTCCTGTTAGGGGCTTCAGAGGAACTGGTGGCAATATGAAAAAATATATACTTTCACAAAGCTTGAGTGGAAAAGGAAGTTGAAAAAAGAACATTAGCTGGAGGGGGATGTAGACTAGAGAAAGATGTTGATTTAGTATGTATTCAACAAATTTTTGTTGACCAGGTACTCTTTATTAGGCACTGTTTTACATCCTGGGGATTAAGCAGAAAATAAAGTAGACAAAGCTCCTCTGTTTTAGTTAGGGAATTAGCTAAGCTGCTCTAACAGGGCCAAACAAACAATGATTTTTTTAAAGAACAAAATTTATTTTCTTTTACATAATGGTCCAGAAGTCTCTGATTGATCCAAGGGAGAAGATGCCCCAGCTCCCTGAGATTAGATGCCCCAGCTCCTCAAAATGATATTTGGCCTCATGGGAGGACATAGCCTATGAATGCTGTGGCTATAGTTGTTAGTAGTAGGATGGTACCGATATTTCAAGTCTTCAGAAAAAGGAAAGACCCATAGCATAGCCCTCGGCCAATATGAAGGAAGAGGCAAATGAAGAACACGGATGCGCCATTAGCATGTAAATAGTGGATCATTCAGTCGTAGTTGACGTCTTGGGTGATATGACTTAGGCTAGTGAGAACAGCTTTGCCTTCCTTAATACATGGCTTCCATTTCCAGTCTGTATCTCTTTTTGCCATTTGCCAGACAGCAGGAAGAGGGAAGAGAAAGTGTATAGCTAGGAGCTTTCATTTTAAGGGACATGATCCAGTTCTACTCACATCTATAACTTTTTTATATAGCCTTACCTGGCTGAAAGGGAGGCCAAGGAATGTCATGTCTAAGTGGGTCACCAAATGCCCTGCTCAAATTTGAATGTAGAGTTATTTCTTCTTACTAAAAGGAAAAAAAAAAAAAAACAACAGAATGAAAACTGGGGATACGGAGAAGACACAGTCTAGAAGTAGACAACTATAGGAAAGTAAAGAGATGGTGATATATGTGAAGTTGTGGTAAATATCATGAAGACAATAACAAAGGAGCTAATTTATAGGTAGTCAGTAACAAGTGAGTAGAGTCCTGAGTGAAGGGAGAGTATGAGTCATGTAGATTTATGCATTCCAGGCAGAGAGAATAGCTAGTGAAGAAGCTCTGAGGCAAGAGCATGCTTGCCATGTTTAAGGGACAGTGAAGTCACAGAGACAAAAGACAAACCAGAAGAAAGTGATTATATGGAACCAAGTGAATGAGATATTTCAAGAGAGAGGAAGTAGTCAAGAAAAACAGAAGTTGCAAGGGTGAAGCTTTGGCCATTGAAACTGGCAGCATAGAGGTCATATGTGACCTTGACAAGTAGCAGTTTTGGTGGCATAGTGGGCACAAAGGACTGAATGGAGTGAATTCGAGGGAAACAAGAGGAAGTGGAATTACAGAAAGCAAATATGGTCCTCTGAAGAGAAAATTGGAATGACTTGAGTATGTGTTGAAAGTAAAGAGCCAGTAGAAATGGAGAGGCTAAGATACTTGGAAGCAGAGCAATTGATGGTGCAACGTCTCAGAAGAGGAAAAATGTACAGGGTTCCTCCTTTTACTTTTTGTTACCTAAAAAGATAAGAATGGGAGAGAATCAACATGTTGGAGAAGGGAAGGAGGAAGTAGTGGGAGGCTGTGGAAATTCTACCTAATAGATTTTTCTTTCTGAAGTAGGAGGCAGTGTCAGCTCCTGAGTGTGAGCAGAAAAGTTGTAGTCAACTATGTATAATAGGAGTGGATAAGGTAAAGATTTGTATTGATCTGAGGTTTTGTGGGGGTTTGAGGCCAGGGGCACAGCCATTGAGAAAATTGGCAAGATAGCGTTTGAAGTGATGAATACTGTCGTGTCTCCCCTCAGTAATGCAGCACTTTCTTCAGCCTATACTCTTCTAATGGCAGGATTGGAAAGGCAATACTCTCCCCAAACTCATCATCTTACCAAAACCATCTGCCATGAAGATCATCAGGACTAAAGCTCGTTATGCTGTTTATAGCCATCACCCCCACAAGCACAAGACCACCCACGTTTAAGCATGAACAGGCAAGCAAAGACTGTCAGACATCTGAAGACTGCCTCGGGCTCAGACGTGTGACACCTGGGGCAGCACCATTCACTCAGGTTTGGGAACAAAAATCCTGGAATCCTCTTTCACGGTCATTCACTTGGTCAATCACCAAACTCTCTTCATCCCACTTTCTAAGTATTCCCCAGGGCACCCACTTCTCTCCATGCCCACTCTTCGTGCCACTGGTAACCTGCCTTTCCGTCATTCCTCATTCTGATACTCCATCCCTCCAGCTCACTGCACAAAAACTGATCATACCACTTGCCTGATTAAACACTTTCGATGACTCTACCACTACCTTTAGGAAAAAGTCTATCCAAACTCACTAAACTGGTTTCCAAACCCTTTGTGTCAGCATCTTAGTCTCTCCCCGCTTTCTCTGCTCACTCATCCATACCTACTGCCTCCTTACTGCTGTCTTCTCCTACCTAGCACTTGCTCTTCCTCAGTCCTGAAGGCTCTTCTTTTTCAGCTCTCACTGCACTGTTTGTTCTCTTTCCTCGCTAATCCCATACTCATCCTTCTCATCTCAGCCTAGTGGTCCTTAAGGAAGCTTTGCTGACGCCGGAGACTGAGCGAGCGTCCCTCCCGAGTAGCACTGTGTTAGCTCTACCAAGCCATCGCTCTCTTTGCCCGTTTCCAGGCGGGACCGTGTCTTTTTACCTCACTCCTGTCTCCTCAGCATTCCGGCACAGTGCTGGGTACATAACAGGTGCTCAAGACAAGTTTGTGGAATAACTAAATGAGTGAATAAATCATTAACCAAATACCTTTCGTCTCCTACTACATCATTTGCAAAAATATGTTTAATAGAAATTAAAACCGACCCAGTGACGTAGAGTGTGTGACCTTACTTGAAAATGACAGAGGTGGTTGAGAGGCAGTCCCAGCCTAGGAACCCGGGGATCCGGCCTGCAGACCCATGGGCGGGGCCTGCGGGCCTGGGGCTTTCTGGCGGAAGGCGGGGCCTCCTGGCCAGTGACCCCGCCCGAGACGGGGCGCCTCCCGAGCGGGGAAGGGCGGGGCTCGCGGCGGGAAACTCCTCTTCCAAGGCCGAGGTTCGGCTGTGCGTCCCCGAGGCGTGGTAGTGGGGTCTTGGGCCCCAGCCCAGTGGTCCAGGTCACTAGCCGCGCAGCAGCGGCCGCCATCTTGTCCGCGTCCGGGCTCCGGAGGCGGGAGGGGCGGTGTCCAGACCGGAAGCGGCTGTGCGGCGGCAGCGCTGCTACCTCAGGTCGGTGAGTGCGATTCGGGCTGCGTCTCCGCTCTGAGGAGCGCTGCAAGTGCAGCGAAGGGCCCAAGATAGCCTAGTTGAAAGGCCTGGGCGTCTCGGCGGGGAGTGCGTTCCGCGCTGTGGGGTCATCGTGCCTGGCGGCGGGCCTGGCCTCACAGGGAGCTAGTGGGGATTGCGGGCGGCCGCGAGGCGCGCGGGGACCTCCCCCGGGCGCAGGGGCCACGCTGCAGCCTTCGCCGCGGCAGGCTTGTAGGGAGCGGCGGCCTAGCCTTTCCCCTGAGGTTCAGTCAGGTGCCTTGCCGGAGAGTCGCACTCAGATTCTTGCTTTACCCGGAATTGCATCGTGCCCTGTTCCAGTTGCACCCTATGAAATACTGTACTTCTTAAACGGCCTACCTCCCGGTGAGCTCTGTTCTCTTCGGATGAATGAAACCCTCACACATGTTGTGGACTTTGCTGAATTGTTTAGCAAATGACTGCTTTTGCAGGCCTTTTGTGTATTTTAAGGGTAATTTGGATATGTGCAGTGCATCTCCTTGAAGATGCTGATGGTGGAAATTTCTCTTTAACCGCCCTCGTTGTAATTTGCCACGGTAAGAAAAGTAAAAGACAACATCAAAAAGCATGTGATTGGATACTTTGTATACTTAGTAGTATTGTAGTGTGTTGGACTTCACCGTCCAGTAGCCACATGGATTGAGATGTTCTGTAAGTGTAAAATACATACCCGATTTCCCAGACACGGTGCCAAAATATATATATATCCTCCCTGATAATTTTTTTATTGATTACATATTAAAAGGATAATGCTGTTGATATGTTGGCTAAATAAAATGTATTTTTAAACTTAATTCCACCCATTTTTACTTTTTAAATGTGGCTACTAGAAATTTTTTAATCATGTCTCACCCTGTACTTCTTTTGGACAGTGCTCTTCCAGATTTTCTGGTGAATGAACGCAGAATCAGCATTGCTTTTCTTTGCTGAGAAACCACTGATGGGAAGTGAGACTTGTTAAACTTGAAGGTGAGGATATAAATACAGGCTATAATTATTGCATACCACACCCCTTCAACACTTAATTTTTTAATGTCTCCAGCATTACGAAAAACATTAACTTTCAGGGCTCATTAAGGGAATGGTAGTGATACTAACATCTGTGTGATATGAAGAGCTCATTTCAGTTGATTGTCACAACTTTGTGAGTTGGAAATGAGATAGATTTTATCTCTGTTTTATGGTTCTGGAGTAATTACAAGATTTGTTAGAATCTGAGCTAGGGAGTGGCTGTAGGATTTCTGACTCTAGATTGTTTTGTTTACACCAAATTCTTAGTGATGTATGTTCACGAGCAAGGAGCTGTTTATACTGTGTATTAGATGGTGAAAAAAATAATTTCTTAAAAGGGTAGACATAGATGTAGCTCTCTATATAGGGCTAGTCTTCTGATGTGCAACCCGTGCAGTAGCACAGAGCTCAGCATTTAGAATGGCTAGCACTTACTTTAATGGCCAGTCTGCTCTCAGTGTCTTGACATTTTAAAAAAGTTTTAGGCTGGGCATGGTGGCTCGTGCCTCTAATCCCACCACTTTGGGAGACCGAGACAGGAGGATCACCTGAAGTCAGGAGTTTGAGACCAGCCTGCTCAACATGGTGAAACTCTGTCTCTACTAAAAATACAAAAAATTAGCCGGGTGTGGTGGTAGTGGGCTCTTGTAGTCCCAGCTACTCAGGAGGCTGAGGCAGGAGGATCACTTGAACCCAGGAGGCAGAGGTTGCAGTGAGCCGAGATTTCGCCACTGCACTCTAGCCTGGGCGACAAGCCAAACTCCGTCTCAAATAATAATAATAATTTTTAAATAAGGGCCCTGCATTTTTATTTTGCACCTCATCCTGCATATTGTGTAGCTGATCCTTTCTCTTTGCAGTAATGTAGGATGGAAGTTGAGAGACCTTGGACAAGCACCAAAACATCTGGTCTTCACTTTACTCCTACGTGAAATGAGAAGAATTTGCTAGTCTTTTCCTCTCAAGTTCTGTGATTCTGTATAAATTACTGTCATCAGATTTTGCGAATGGCAGTATAAATATTTTAGGTGCATAACATCAAGAAATGCTGATGATTCTCCATTGAGAGCCATGTAAATTAAAGTTTTAAAAATTACGCTAAAACTTTGTAAGATGGATTTTTCTATGTGCCATCAAGATTGCTCACCATAGACCATTGATATAAAGAGTAGGATTGTGAAACGAAAGCCTAGATAAAAAATTTGTTTATTTAAACATTGATTTTTCAGTGAGATGGGAAAATGGGCCCGATCTCATGATGTCTTCAATTAAGAGGTTTCCTTTGTTTGTGAGGGTGCAAGTATGAACCCTTACTTGGCAGTATCTGTTCCTTTTCTTTGCTGTCATAGCTGCTTCCTATTACATGAGGTCCCTCTCTTCCTCCTCATTCTTAAATGTTTAAACTCTCTTTAAGGTTTCACTTAATTTTATCACTACAGTGCTGGTTTTCTTTAGACCAGAGACTTCATCTGCTCATGTTCACTGCTGTGTTCCAGCTTTATAACAATGGCTAGAAGGTGCCCAATCAATAGTTACAGAATAAATGAAAGACAGTATGTTAGAGTAATTCTCTGTTAGGATGGCTTACTTTGGGGCTCTTGCCCATCAGTAGAACCAGTTAGGATAGCAGACACTTGAAACTTGGCTGGAGCCAACCTCTGCTAGGAAGGATAGAAGTGGAAGCACGAGGAAATAGGTAAAACTTGGAGATAGCAACTGTGAGAAGTGTCAGAGGGACCATTCAGCACATGCATTTATTTAACAAATATTTGTTAACTTCCTACTAAGTACCTAGCACTGTGCTGGGGACTAGAGGTACAATGGAACACGAAAAAATACTTCACCTGCTCTCATGGAGTGTATAATGCAGTAGAAGCGACAGAGATGGATGATTCAGGGGAAGGACTACCGCTTAATGACAGTGTATGTCTGACTAACCTGACCTGGACTAGGGAGGGAATAGAGAGTGGTTGATGTCAAGGATCAGCAGGTGTTAACTGCCTTCCCTACCCAGAAGGCAAAGAAGTATGCTCTAACAAGAGGAAACATCATTTGCAAAGGTATGGTGATGGGGGAGGAGGGTATACCCTAGGAAGTGAAAAGGAAGTTGTAAAAGGACAGCAAGAATGTTATGCCGTGAGACGTGTGCAGTAGGCAGAGACCAAAACCTTTATAGGTTAGATTGAAGATTTGCAACACTATACTAAGAGCAGCTGGATACCATTAGAGGATTTTAAGCAAGGAAGGATAGCCTGGTCAAGTTTTTGTTGTAAAAGAATTATTACTCTTATAGCCTATAAAGCAGAATTTCTGAAGGACCAGGGGAAAGATGACTAAAAGAAAAGCTGAGCCAGTACCACATACCAGATATGTTATATACCTTGATTTCCAGGGAAATCGGTTTTCAGAGGCTTGAGACTGTGCTCAGTGTCGTAGCACTTGGAAGCCTGAGTGAGGAGACAAGATGATAAATAATTGGGTTGATCTGGGATTGGGGAAAGGCAAACCCAAAGTGGTAAGGAAGTGAAGACATTGAGGGTGCTAGTAAAAATATAATTGAAATGATTGATCCTGGGCTTGAGAAATACTAAAGAAGGAAATAAAACCAGTATAAAAATTTCTAAATTAGTGGTCCCCAACCTTTTTGGCACCAGGAACTGGTTTCATGGAAGACAGTTTTCTCACTGACGGGGGATGGGGGCATGGCTTCAGGATGATTCAAGCACATTACATTTATGGTGTACTTTATTATTTACATTGTACTATATAATGAAATAATTACACATGTCACCATAATGTAGAATCAGTGGGAGCCCTGATCTTGTTTTCCTGCAACTATACGGTCCCATATGGGGTGATAGGAGACAGTGACCGATCATCAGGCATTAGATTCTCATAAGGAGCATACAGCTTAGATCCCTCACATGCACAGTTCACAATAGGGTTTGCCCACCTGTGAGAAACTAATGCTGCTGCTGATCTGAGAGGAGGCAGAGCTCAGGCAGCAATGCCAGAGATGGAGAGTGGCTGTAAATATAGGGGAAACTTCTTTGCTCCCTTGCCTGCTGCTCACCTCCTAATGTGTGCCTGGTTCCTAACAGGCCAGGGATCCAGACTGCTCTGTGGCCCTGGAGGTTGGGACTCCTGGTCTAAATTATATGAGTCTATGAAATTTTAGACTGGTAATTCCTAACGGAAATTCTTGCAAGATTAAAAAGAAAAGCAATTATATTTGAGTTGAACTGTTTAGTATGTCTTTATTAGAAGTCTATGCCAGGCTCTATATGTAGCACTAAGGATAGGGAGATACGTGAACTGTAGCTTTACCCTATGAGAACTGACAATCTAGTTGTACAGATACTAATTGCAATGAAGATTTTAGGTATGTTCATTCATTTTTGAATCTAAACTATTCCTTTTGCCAGCCTTAGTTAAAAATAGGCATTTAAATTTTTGTAGTCAACCTTAATTATTGAAACACCATTTTAAACTATAGCTATATTTAGTTTGTGCTTTTAATGCTAGAATATTTACTTTTTTCAAAATTCTACTTTAACACTTTTTCAAAGTTTGCAGAACTGAAAACTGAAAGAGCCTCTAATGATCACTTAATACAGTTTCTCCAAATGTGTGTGTGTATCACTGGTCATAAGATGCTTTGTAGATAAAACACAAACATTTTTAATAGTTATATATTTCAGTGTCTGTTAAAAAATACAATTAGCATAGCATACCATGATTCATGGACCTTATGAAGAGATTAAAGTCAATTTTCAGATTTTAAAAGAGTCAGTTTAAAGCAAAATATTAATGGCACAGGTTGCTACATGACTGAGGTTTGGGAAATACTAATCTAAAGCAACTCTTACATTATGTATATGAGAAAACAAAGGGGTTCCTCACACGCAATGACTTTTCTGAGGCATATAACTAATATAGGCAGAGCTAGGACTAGAACTCAGGTTTGCTCAGTACATTCCAGTGTTTATTCCGCCATACAAGGCTGCTGCTTATTACTGAAGGCTGAAGACAGCTCTTAGTATGGCATTGTACTTTAAATCTCTAGTGTTCATTACAATGGCCACATATGGTTATTTATATTGAAATTAGTTAAAATTAAGGTTTAAAATTTGAACTAGTCACATTTCTAGTGCTCAGTAGCTACATGTGGCTAATGGTTACCATATTGGACAGCATGAACATAGAACATTTCTGTCACTGCAGAAAGTTTTATTGGGCAGTGCTGCTTTAAACTATTGCTTAAGCATAATGATTCATAATGCTTTTAAGTTTTCCCCCCTTCAAAGGCATAACACTTAATAATTTGCTTACCACACTGAAGTTGTTATAACCCTGAAGTTAAACTGAAGATTCTAGCAACAGTGCAATTAAGATAATTGATCATGGAAAATATAGCCAGGATGGGAGTCTCAGATTCCTACTGGCTCATTTTATTGAAAGTGGTTGTTCTTTCTCCCTTTTTTCAATAAATATTTTCTTGAATTCATAGCAGATAGAAGAAATACAAATCTATTGAAAAAGAAGGTTCTTGAATAGAGAATTTTCTGACTTTCTAAATAGTTTATTCAGTGTAAGAATTATATTTTGTTGGTATTTAAAAATTTTTTATTTTTAAACATTTTCAGTGAATGGACCTGAGTGGACCCTTTGAGCACATCAGTAAACATGAGCGGTACCAAACCAGATATTTTGTGGGCACCACACCAGGTTGATAGATTTGTTGTGTGTGACTCAGAACTAAGTCTTTATCATGTGGAATCTACTGTGAATTCAGAACTCAAAGCTGGATCTTTACGTTTATCTGAAGACTCTGCAGCTACATTACTGTCAATAAATTCAGATACGCCCTATATGAAATGTGTTGCCTGGTATCTCAATTACGATCCTGAATGTCTGCTGGCAGTTGGACAAGCAAATGGTCGAGTTGTACTTACAAGTCTTGGCCAAGATCATAACTCAAAGTTCAAAGATTTGATAGGAAAAGAGTTTGTTCCAAAACATGCAAGACAGTGTAATACCCTTGCCTGGAATCCACTGGATAGTAACTGGCTTGCTGCTGGTTTAGATAAGCACAGAGCTGACTTTTCAGTGCTAATATGGGATATCTGCAGCAAATACACTCCTGATATAGTTCCCATGGAAAAAGTGAGACTTTCAGCAGGTGAAACTGAAACAACATTATTAGTAACAAAACCTCTTTATGAGTTAGGACAGAATGATGCTTGTCTCTCTCTTTGTTGGCTTCCACGAGACCAGAAACTTCTCCTTGCTGGTATGCATCGTAACCTAGCTATATTCGATCTTCGGAATACAAGCCAAAAGATGTTTGTAAATACAAAAGCTGTTCAGGGTGTGACAGTAGACCCATATTTCCACGATCGTGTTGCTTCCTTCTATGAAGGTCAGGTTGCAATATGGGATCTTAGAAAATTTGAGAAGCCAGTTTTGACTTTGACTGAGCAACCAAAACCCTTAACAAAAGTAGCATGGTGTCCCACTAGGACTGGTCTACTTGCCACTTTAACAAGGGATAGTAATATTATTAGATTATATGATATGCAGCATACACCCACTCCCATTGGGGATGAAACTGAGCCCACAATAATTGAAAGAAGTGTACAACCTTGTGACAATTACATTGCTTCCTTTGCATGGCATCCAACAAGTCAAAATCGAATGATAGTTGTAACTCCCAACCGAACAATGTCTGACTTCACTGTTTTTGAAAGGATATCTCTTGCCTGGAGCCCAATTACATCTTTAATGTGGGCCTGTGGTCGTCATTTGTATGAATGTACAGAAGAAGAAAATGATAATTCTTTAGAAAAAGATATAGCAACGAAGATGCGCCTTCGGGCTTTATCGAGGTATGGACTTGATACAGAGCAGGTGTGGAGAAACCACATTTTAGCTGGAAATGAAGATCCACAGCTCAAGTCACTCTGGTATACTCTGCACTATATCCTTTGCATTGTGAATTTTGTGAGGTGAATCAGGTAGAAGTATTCTTGAAGTTTGCTGAAAGGTCAGTCTATAAATATGTTGAATGTTTTATATATAAATACAAGTTACATAATAACATTATGAAGTAAAATTGCTCTAAACCCTTGAACTTGAAATACCACTTTGTAGATTGTGTAGGAGGAAGAAAAGTATCTCTGCAGTAGAGTAGAACCTCCTTATTTGCACTGACACCTATTATGAATTGGCTCCAAATAAAAATAAATTTAGCTTTGAAATATTTTATTATGCATCATCACTAGTATTTCCTATGCATTTAAATACTTATGAAGCAATATACAGAAGATATGGATCAGAAATCTCCAGGCAACAAAGGATCGTTGGTTTATGCAGGAATTAAATCAATTGTAAAGTCATCTTTGGGTAAGAAAATTCCATTTCATTTTCTTCAATATGTTTATAACTTTTGTACCTTTATTTTGGTCCTGTCATTTGGCAGAAATTATCTAGTTATTTCAGGATCATGTACACAAATATTCTTTTTTTGGTTTTTGATTAGATATTTCAGTGAATTGTTGAGTTAAATGCATAATTGTATTTATATCCAAACCCTTTCTGCAGGAAGTCTTAATTCTCTGAAGTGATGTTGACTTTCTTAAATCTATTCACACATTTATTCAACATTATTTTTCTGAAAACCCAGTTTTTTGCTAGATAACTTATAGGTTACTGATTTTTAGTTCAGGTTTTATCACAGCATTTTGCTTTTTGAAAACTAGATTAAAAGATCTCTAATTGAAGGAGACTCCTTTTTGTTTCATTCCCCAAATACTTTCATTGAGCTATCTAACAGCAAGGACTATGATATGAAATATGGCCTAACTGGGAGGAATTATACCTGAAATAGTCCTTGGTGAATTAGTGAATGAATTTATTAATGTGTGAGTTAATGTAGGCTTGACATTGGTATGGTAAACTATTATAGAATAAAGAAAATGTGACAAAAACCAAACTTTTTTTTTCTGACTGCTTTAAACAGTTGTTCCTATTCTTTTACTGAAGTTGAATAATGGGTTATATTAGAATTGCAGGTTGAGTATACCTTATCCAAAATGGCTTGGGACCAGAAGTGTTTCAGAAATTTTCAGATTTTGAAATTCTTACATTACATACTTAGAGATTGAGCATCCCTATTCTGAAATCCAAAATGCTCCAATGAGCATTTCCTTTGAATATCATCTTAGCACTCAGAAAGTTTCATATTTTGAAGGGTTTTGGATTTCATTTTTCAGATTTGGGATGCTCAGCCTGTATCTCTGTGACCTGGGATTTATTTTCCAGCTTTTGGTAAGGCACATTTGGGCCCAAGTCAAGCTGTTAGAAAAGTAGTTAACATTATTTGGTCAAAGAGCAGTAATAGAAGTAGTAAATTTCAACTTTTACAGAACTTGTATCAATACAAACAAAATACAAAATCATAAAATTTTTTAGTGTAGGTTAAGTGTTTTAGTTAAACCGTTATAGTGTTTTTTTAAGGTCGTTCAAATTACTTTGGTCCACTTTACTGAAAGATATAGTAGACTACTTACTGATCAATTTGATTTTGTTGTTTTTGTATTAGTCTTCCACCAAAAAATGTAACCTTTATTTTAAATAGTAAAATGAATAAGTTTAGTTAGAAGCTACTGTTTTTATTAACATATGTAAAAGGACACATACTATTTTATGCCCACAAATAAACCTAGTACCATGGTTCATGATTTTAGAGCCACTGTCCATTGCTGCAAAGAATTAAACACCAAGTTTATAGGATTTATAATGTCTTAGCTACATAGTAGATCAGGACACATTGTACTCAGTTATTTAGAGGTTAGTTATTGTGTTTGTTGTAGTTTGATATATTTTAAGGAAAAGCCAACCTTTGATGAAAAGCAAAAGGGGAAAATGTAATATCTTTATGTTTCTGGTGCACTAGAGACAAACTGAGTATCCCACCCTTGAGTCAAAATAGTTTTTACCCAGCCTAAAGGAAGGCTACTGTTGGAAAGATTTCTTCATTCATCATTTTCTCGTTGCTCTCATTGCTAGATTTTCAGCTTTTTGTTTTGTTTGGTATAGATATTTTTGTTTCTACTACCTAAAGGTGAAAAGTAGAGAAATACTGTCAAATATGACACTCTTAGATTTCAGTCTTCTGTTTTACTTGGCTATACCTTTTCCTCTAATTGTGTCTCTAATAATTCATCACATGGTAAGTCAACACATTGAGCCATCTTGTCCACAGTAACCTAATACATAAGTTTATTAGAGCACACAGCTAAATTTTAATTTTGGTAACAAATTGTGTGTGTGTGTGTGTGTGTGTGTGTGTGTGTGTGTGTTTGCTATGAATTAGTTTCTTTTCCCATGTTACTTTAATTTTTACAACTACAATATGAAGTAAGCTCATTCATTCAGCAAGTATTTATTACATGCTCCCTGTATGCCAGGAGTTATGCTAGGAACTAGAGACATAACTCTCAAGAAGATACATAAATCTCTTCCCTCATGGAGGTTGAGCAGGTTCAATGTCGTCCTTTCTCTTGGGGAGTTTACATTCTAGTTTAGAATATAGACAAGTAAACAGGCAGTTATAACATAGGGAAGAGATAAACAGTTATATACAGGAAGGATTCCTAATCCGGTTGCAGGGATGAGATGTTTCTCAGAGGAGGTACAGTCAAAGACAAGGTCTAGGCAGGAAGCAGCATATGCAGTAGGCCCAGAGGGTAGAGAGATTATTATGCCTGGAAGAGAGCATGAGAGAGGAAATGAGGAAAGAGTAGAGGCTAGAAAGCTGAGCAATGAGCTAACTCAGGAAGGACTTAAAAATCATGTTAAGAATTTAGGGAAATTCACCTTGTAAGGCAGGGAAATGGATGGATTTGTGACAGATTTGTGTTTCAAAAAAGCGGATCAAGAGTGATAGGGATATCGGATAGAAGTCTGCTATAAGGAGACAAGACATGATGGTCTCCTTTCTAAAGTTAGTAGCAGAGGAGCTAGAGAAATGTGGATACATTAGAGAATAGGACAAAATTTAATGATTAAGTAGATGAAGGGGTTGGAGAAGATGGAAAAGTCAAAGATAGCACACATATATTTAGTTTGGGAAGCTAGTTAATTTTAAGTATGTTAATTAGGAACAACACCAGAAGAGTATTTGCGTTTATTTTGCAGCAAGTTGAAATCAAGATACTTAGGTACAGATGTCCATTGGGCAATAGGATATGAGTTCAAAGCTCAAAGGAGGAATATAATGTAAGTTTGAAATAAATGATATTTGATGGAGTAGATGGAATTGTTCAGAGTAAGAACAGAAAGAGGTGACTTAAAGGAGACTGAGGAGAATTGTCGAGAGATGTAGGATATGAGTTCAAAGCTCAAAGGAGGAATATAATGTAAGTTTGAAATAAATGATATTTGATGGAGTAGATGGAATTGTTCAGAGTAAGAACAGAAAGAGGTGACTTAAAGGAGACTGAGGAGAATTGTCGAGAGATGTAGGAGAAAGATCTATATGGCAAAAACCACAAATCACTTTTGCACCAACCTAATATGTATTCACATGGTTGAGGGAAGAGAGGTCAGTTGTCCAACGCTCCATGCTTCAGATCCAGTCAAATAAGTACTAAAAAGGACTCACTGAATTTAGGAATAGGAGAAGGCCTTTGTTGGTGGTATGGATAGCAAATGGCAGTTAGATTAGAAATTCAGAGTGGGTTGAGGAAATGAAGTCATCAATTATAAATATTTTTTTCAAGAAATTTGACTATATAAAAGAGGACAAAATGATACTCGTCAGAGGAGGCAAATCGGAGCCAGGAGCTTTGTGTTGCTTTATTTTTGTTTTCAACATGGGATTCATTTAAGCATGTTTAAATGCTGATTGGAAGAAACCCAAAGAAAGAGGTTAAAGATGCAGAGAGAAGGTAATGAAGCAAAACTTCTAGAAACAGGAGGGAATGGGATCCAGAACACAGGTTTGTTTAGCTTTAGATACAAGGGTGCACACCTCCACATTTGCCAGAGGAAAAGGGAAAAGGATGCTGTATGCAGGTTGTTTAAGGTTCAATGACCAGAGGCTGAGGGATTTTCCATTTTATAACTCCTGTTGAGAAGGAACAGGGAGGTTGTAGGAAGAGCATATGGAGAAGAGGAGAAATGTAGGGCTGTGGAGGTATCCCTTATGCTGTGTTGAGGTACAGGATCTGAGAAGTAAAGAGACAGGACACTGAAGAACTGGTGAAGAGCATCTGGACTCGGGGGGCCACACCACCTGTGAGTGGAGGTCAGTGGCGGCCCCTCAAATGCCCAAGAGCATCTGTATTTATTAGGTACAAGCAGGGGGCAGGATTGTGAGTGAGGTCATCATCTATAGGCTTAGTAATAGGGCATACATAATCACGTGAGTTACAAGCGAGGGGGCCACCCCATTACGTCACTTGGGCAGAGAGGTAGGCCGTGCACAGTAGTAGAGGGTCGTATACAGAAAAGGGGTCCACCCCCATTAGGTCACCGAGGCAAGGAGGTGGGCTTTGTGCAACAGGTATCATGTGCAACACTTCTTATCTGGGGGCTGGAGACTTCAAAGGATTTCTAATAGAAGGACACTATAAACTTAATGTAGTGGAAGCTGACAGGCATGTGTTCTTCACTTAAGATATTTATGGGAGGATGATTTGAGCCAGCACAGAAGTGAGAAAAGACTGATAGGGTGTATAGCCACCATGACTGGTCACACCAGAGGGGTTCTTCTCCCTTGGTTACTTCCAGGATCTCAGGCCTGAGGCCTACTTTCCACAGGAACTGGATGCAAGGTACTACAACTCCTTTATCAGGAGGAGAGGCACTTGCTCCAAGCCTGCCACACAGCGTATGCTCTTTCAGGCAGGGACACCACTGCCTGGTTCTTTGGTTCTTGTCCTGGTCTGGCTGTTTTCCCATGTTCTGCTTCTGTTCTGTGACTGTTCTAGGCATTCTTCCTACTACATACTACTATATGGTTATATGGAAGGATTATATAAATCAGCAGTAAATGTGTCAGTACAGCTCTGATACATGTATGTATATGATTATATAGAAAGATTATATAGAACTAAGTAGAAGTATTAAGTATGATTATTAAACTAAATATATGTAAGCAGTAAGTTATACTTCAAGCACGAATTCTATAAACTAATATATAATTATGCAGGATTATATAAAGGAAACAGCTGAGCAATAACACTGCTTGTGTTATTGCAGTGTTATTGCAGTTATAGCAATAAACTAAGATATTCTTCAGGCACTGGTTGTGCTTGGGGTCTGGACAGTTCTCCTTCCTTAGTGCCCATGGGGGGTGTTACCCACAGAGAAAGAGCTGTCTTGAGAAACATGGGAAG